ATCATTGCAAAAGTCATGTGTATAATTGATCTATTTGTAGGAACATTTGGAAGTCACATGTGATTAGACTTTGTTAATGGGATAATAATCATATATGTCATATATGATTTATGTGCTAGAATCGGCTTTTGGAAGAGTCATGTATGATCTGTCATTGTATATGAGACTTTGTAGAAGTCATATGTGATTTGGTTGTTTATACTAGACAACAAATGCCTAATAGTTAAAAATAGATTCATTAATATATATATATATATATATATATATATATATATATATATATATATATACATATATATATATATATATATACATAGAATGTTAGAATACAGGAAATTGCAGAATGTTCAGTTGTAGATTCTTAACCATCTTTTACTCACCTGTAATCCCTTTTTCATCCCTGGATTTATATCTTCTTGTTTGGACAAATTGAAACTACTTAAATCTTAGTCTATTGCATGCAGTTCTATTTTGTCTTGTTTATTGAGAATTGTATATAAATTATTTTTAGACCCCCCCCCACCTTGATCTATTTGTATATTGGTCACTTTATCCAATATCCTGATTATTCCCAGGTAATGTATTTTTGTTTTTGTCTGGTTGGTGAAGATTAGGGTTAAGTTAGTTATGCTTTCAATCCCACTCATGAGGTTATCCTGACTCTTCCACTCATGAGGTTATCCTGCTCTCCCACTTATATATTTATCCAGACACTTCCATATTTTCACTTGATGCTTGTTATCATCGAGTTAGCAGTATATAGGTAATTGGCAGTTAGACAACTGTTATAAGCTGCTCCACGGCAGTTAGACGGGATGTTTGTGTGTGGGGGGGGGGAGAGGGAGAGATAAGTCGCGAGTTATATTAAACAACACACGGTAAGAGGCGGGGTCCAAGAGCTAACAGTTCGATGTTCTAGGCACAAATAGGTAAATCAAGTTCAAGTATGTTTATTGAGACAAGAAAAAATACATCTCTAAGGGATGGTAACTATTTCAAAGGAAATAGGTAAACACACATGCACACACACTCACATAGTAGTAGCAGTGCCCCCTGGAACTGCTTCCTGCACTAGTGGGGAAGGTGGGTGGAAATGGATATAGGAAAGTGAGCTTCAAGGTAATGTACTCAAACATCGATGGGATTACCAACAAAGCAAGTGAACTGGTAGAAAGGGCGCAGGAAAAAAACCCAGATGTAGTAGGACTCGCAGAAACAAAATTGTCAGGAGTCATAACAAATGCTGTGTTTCCAAAGGACTATCATATAGTAAGGGAAGGGAGAGGAGGTGGAGTGGCCCTGCTGATAGGGAAGGACTAGAGCTTTGAAGAGATGGAAATTCCGGGCTGCGACGGATTCAGAGACTACATAACAGGAACTATGGCAATGGCAACACAAGACAAAGTTAGAGAAGATTCAAAGGTATGTCACCAGACTGGTCCCGGAACTGAGAGTCCCTGGAAAGCAGAGGAGTAAGGGAAGATATGATAACCACCTCCAAAATCTCAGGGGAATTGACAGAGTGGACAAAGACAAAGTCTTTAGCATGGGTAGAACGCGAATTAGGGGGACACAGGTGGAAATTGAGTACTCAAATGAGCCACAGAGACATTAGAAAGAATTTTTTCAGTGTCAGAGTAGTTAACAGATGGAATGCACTAGGAAGTGATGTGGTGGAGGCTGACTCAAATTCAAATGTAGATATAATAGAGCCCAGTAGGCTCAGGAACCCGTACACCAGATGATTGACGATTGAGAGGCGGGATTGATCCAGAACTCAACCCCCCGCAAGCACAGCTAGGTAAATACACACACACACACACACACACACACACACACACACACACACACACACACACACACACACACACACACACCGCCAGCAAGGAACAACGGCGAATTTTCCGCGTAGACCGATGTCAGTGTTGCTAAGCGTGGCTTTGCTTCCGGCAGCACCAACACCACCATTTGCTGCCCGCGACACGCAGCCGGTGTCTGCACGCGCGCGCGCACACACACACACACACACACACACACACACACACACACACACACACACACACACACACACACACTGATGAAGGCGTGTCAGTACTCCTCAGTATGGGTCTATTTATGTTCATTATATAAATTATTATTCTCATACATGTGAGGCCAGTCGCATCAAGCAACGAATTTGAAGGATCGTTACTACTGCCATTTTTATCATCCCTTCAAAAAAATCCCACTTAAGATTTTCCAGCTCAAATTTTTTTATGTGTTTGTACTAAAGGTTCTGGATTCACCAGAGTTGAAATTTTCCGAGAGTAAGTGAAAATAAAGAGGATGCGAACCAGAGACCCAACACACACACCTGTGAAGATGGAGGCTTCCAGGGCCCCGTCCTCGACCATTGTCAAGTCATGTGAGGAGAACAGAGTGGAGCAGAAAGTTAATATGTGAGATAAGAACGTGAGGAGAATGGCCAGAAGGTAAGAAGTATATCATATATGGGTCCACTGGAAGAAAGCGACGAGAAATGAAGACGAAATAGATAACAATAAAGAGAAAGGAGAGAGAGCCAAGAGAATCTAAGTCTAAGTCAGATCACGTTGAAGAAAGTTGGAACATATAGGAGTGTACTGAGCAAGGGGTCTGTAGCAACCAAGCCAGGACTAAGGTTCATGTTGGGCATGTTGTGGATCACAGCTCATACAACATGTCGGCGTCTGTGAAGAGCACTGGCAAGAATGATTATTTTAGAAGAAGACAAATCTATGGGATGATTAGTCCCTAATATGACAGAAGAGAGCATTGTTTGTGTCTGCAGACTTAACACTTCTTTTGTGTTCCTCAAGTCTGTCATATAATATACGGTCAGTTCCCCCAAAGTATTGGAGAGGACAAGACGAACAGGAAATTAAATAAAACACCAGCAGCATTGGAAGCAGGAGCAGCAGTGTGAAGCATTATTATTAATCATAGTCGCTCGCAAAATTGATGGACTGTCCTGTTTACTGTTCGTTGGTCCTTGGTTCGGTGAGTTTCTGGCAATTTAGTTCATAACTCTTGATGTACTAAATGTACTAAAGAGAGAGAGAGAGCCTGATTAGATCACCGGTGGTTGATGTAATCAAGCATCAATATGATTCATCTCTTTCTGTGCCAAGGCAGTGTAGTCATCAGCCCCTGATAATACAAGCAGACACCAAGCGGGATTAGTCATACACCAAGGTCACTTGGCCACTTCACCATTCATACACAAAGTACATCTAAATATACGCCTAATTTGTCCATTATTAAACCGAGATCAGTTAGTGCTCGTCCAGATCTATTTGTTTAAACGCCAAACTTAGTCACGAACCATTCTGATCTAATCTTACACTAAGCTGATCTAATCCTACACCATTCTGATCTAATCATTCACTAAGCTGATCTAATTATACACATTTGAGTGTATTTATGGTAACGTTAGGAGAGGTGTGGGGTGTGGACTTGAGTATTAAGAGTGCCGGCTGCATGTGTGTAGTCACAGCCCCGCTCCTGTGCCAGGTAAGTCCACTACGGGCTCACCATAGCCCGTGCTACTTGGAACTTTTGTTCTCGGTAACTGAATCTAAACCAACATCATCATATGTGGTGACTTACGGGCTATTCATGCCCGTGCCACCTCTTGGGTGGCTCAATCTTCACCAATGAACGTCTTGTGACGTCTGGCGATACAACTGATTGATTGATTGATAAAGATTAAGCCACCCAAGAGGTGGCACGGGCATGAATAGCCCGTAAGTGGTACAATTTTTTTTTTCTCAGTAAATACAACTCGTCTCCAGCACGTCTCCAAGACGATACAACTCGTCTCCAGCACATCTTATGTGTCCCGGGAGACTGGAAGAGCAGCAGCAGGAGATGGCTGCCAGATGGAAAGGGTTGAGGGATGTTGTTGTTTCAGATTTAGCTACTCAGAACGAAGTGTCCATGTAGCACGGGCTATGGTGAGCCCGTAGGGGTCGAGGGAGATGGGTGTCATGTTTATAGTGCCATAAATCCCCCTTTTTTATTTAGTTAAACATAATTACTTTAGTTTACCTTCTTGTAATTGCCGAGGTCTTCCTCGACAGTCTAGTGGACTCAGGGTTAAAACAGGCCTCGAGATTACGAGCAACATGATAGCATTCAATTAAAATTCCACGATTTTTGTGTATAATTCGTTTATTTAAAAAATACATTAGTAAATTCATTAATTACATAATACACAAATTCTCTCCGTAGACTCCTTGGTAACATTGATCAATGTTCTCCATGTAACGCGGCTCACAACACACAAACGTGTGCAGAAATCAACAAAAAATTCTTTGATGAACTATTTTTCCAAATAGTTCACAAACACATGTACAGCCACTAAATAAACAAAACAAAAATAACATTTGTCCATAAAATGTTCTCCAAATATACAAAAAGTTATAAATAAATATACATGAATATAATATTTACAATGTTCTTTGACTTAGTCCTTTACCGTAGCGCGTCACTAGACGCTTCGAGGCGCAGCTCGGGGGGGGGGGGACCTATTGCGCAGGAGGGACATCTGAAGCGGAGGTGGACCTCTGACGGAGGTCCACCTCCAGGTGGCTCTGGGTGGAGGCCCAAAGGGTGGCTCTGATGGCCACCCGTTGGGTTCGTTAGGGTCCACAAGCCCTAAACATGCCCTTTACCCCCTGAGATATTCCAGTAAGCCAGCTTTCCACCACTAGTTACTCTGGGGAAAGTTGCTGTGACATTCCTCTATACTGTGTTCAGGAGTAGCTGTGAAGTGTTGAGTTTAGGGCACTATTTTGTTGGTGTCTTTGGCACATAATACCCAGGTCTTATGTCTCTCTCTCTCTCTCTCTCTCTCTCTCTCTCTCTCTCTCTCTCTCTCTCTCTCTCTCTCTCTCTCTCTCTCTCTCTCTCTCTCTCTCTCTCTCTCTCTCTCTCTCTCTCTCTCTCTCTCTCTCTCTCTCTCTCTCTCTCTCTCTCTCTCTCTCTCTCTCTCTCTCTCTCTCTCTCTCTCTCTCTCTCTCTCTCTCTCTCTCTCTCTCTCTCTCTCTCTCTCTCTCTCTCTCTCTTTACAGAGTTGATACAATAAAATAACATACATAAGAGATAATATAATAAATGCTTCATGTCTTTCTAAAATAATGCCGAGTCTTTAGGGGACTTTGTACAGTGCAGAGAGACACAGAGAAATGGCAGCCTTCAGAGTCTCTCTCTCACTCTATCTCTTTCTCTGTCTCCCGCTCGCAGCCTCCACTCTACCGTCAGAGAGGCTGGCAAAGCAGAGTTGGATGGTGTGACAGCCTCGTTAGGTACCTGACAAGAGGGGTAGTACGCTTTCCACCCTAATGAGCTACGCACAGAGGGATGGTGGAAGGTAATTGACGGGGGAGGAACTCAGTTACATGCTTTTAACGCCAAAGTGAAATCTGGTTTGGTGAGTGGATTAACACATCGTGCATGGGACGCTTCGCCTTTTGGGTACTGACGCAGAGAAACGAGATTTTTTGTGTAGTTCAGATGATGTTCTGGTGAGTTTCCTGGCTGTCTCGACTCGGGCTTGTCATCGTGCGAGTATCAGAAAATGTGTCTGACCTCCCGTGACTAATATTGCCATGTCTGAGGAAGTGATTAGGCACATACAGCTTATCTTAAACCGTAACTGTATAACTTAGAACATAGATCCTTTCACCATGTCCTAACCCTGCCGCTGGACAGGGGAGGCACTTATGGTAGGTGCCAGAAATCATATTTGGAAGCATTTACACGCCAAAAGGGTGACCCTCACCCGACCTGGGTTCGCCTTAGACGGCGGTATGCGGGCTGACCTCTGCCCAGCTCTTTTTATCGAGGCTGGTATTGGAGCCGGGGAGGGGCAGCTTGCTGGTGCTGTCGGCGAGGCCGTGGTTGGTGAAGTGACGGTCCGTGCCCGCTCGCATGGTCGACGTGGCATCGTCATCGTCATCGTCGCCGTAGTTACTGAGAGGTGGCGCTGTTGCTCGTCCGTGCTTCTTCAGCTTGGGGCTCTTGTGCAGACTCCTCCTGCTGCGAGTTCGCTCCTCAGCCACCTGCAGGAGGGAGGAGATGGGTCAAGATGAGAACATCGCGAGGAAGGAGCAGCAGGGAGAAGGAAGAACAACGGTGCCATGTGACACACAACCAATAATGGAGGAAAGTGACACCCGGGAAGGTTTTCCACTCAGGAGGAGGAACATAAAAATACCGTCTGAGGTACAGAAAAGGATTATAATGTGAACGTTTACAGACAGACCGACAGCAACACACAACTGCATTAGGTGACCAAAATCATCTAGGTTTTACCATACAAAAACAAATAGTGAGTACACGTACACACACATACACACACACAAACACAACCACAACCTGCACACTGTACAACCTGTACAGACACAACCAACCCAATGGCAACCTGTACACCGGTTGATTGACATTTGAGAGGCGGGACCAAAGAGCCAAAGCTCAACCCCCGCAAGCACAAATAGGCGAGTACGTACACACACACACACACACACACACACACACACACACACACACACACACACACACACACACACTCACACACTCACACACCTGCGGTACCAACCATTTCTTGGTTGACAAATGGAATGCATTAAGAAGTGTTGTGGTGGAGGCTGTTGCCATGTCTGTGAACATTTACAGTTCCATATGTAGATATGACAGAGCCCAGTAGGCTCGTGAATCTGTACACCAGTTGATTGACAGTTGAGATGCGGGACCAAAGAGCCAGAGCTCAACCCCCGCAAGCACAACTAGGTGAGTACATCAGACCTGAGACACATCAGACCTGAGACACATCAGCGTGTACCAGTGAGAGAGTGAGGGACAACACCTCACCCCCACTACACTGCTGAGAGAATTACCGGATTGTCATAAAAATTCTGAGAAAATCTGGGACAATATTCGTAAGAATATCTGCAAAATACCCGAGGGTGGAGGATATTTAGGAGAATATCGGAAGACTATCGGAGAGAATATATTACACCGACCTTGTCAAGGCAGTAAGGGAAGGGAACTATCAGGCTGAAAGCGCCAAGCCATTACGACTATATAGCACTTGGAAGGGGTCAGGATAAGGGTTTGGGATGGGATGGGGGGGGGGGATGGAAGTCATTATCAAGGTAACATAGACAAGGAGACCTTCAGGACGTCGAGCGCTCTCTTGAGATCTTAACGTAAATAAGACAAATGTCAACTATGCAAAAAGCCCAGAGACCAGCGACGAAACCTTATAATCGCAACGTTGAAAGAAAGAAAGAACATATGGGGAGACATGATAACAACATACATGATCTTTAGGGGGAACTGCCAGAGAGGAGAGAGAGAGATCATGCTCAAGAGATGCCAGAAGTGGAGGCCAGAGACACTCCCGAACACAAGAGAGATATCAGGAGAGTTTGTTTAGACAAAAAGAGTCAGAAACAAGTGTCAAGAGCCACGAGAAGAGGTCCTAGAGAAGCATCAGGCATGAGACTCTTTCTAATAACGTTCCAAATGCTGGAATGGTGGGGCTTGAGAGCTAAGGCTTGACCCTCAGAGCACATATACGTGAGTTCATCTAGGTTAGAACAAACGCACACATATGCAAATTATACAGTGGGTAAACACAGTTAAAAATTAAGACACAAGAGCTTAAACTAGACAAATTGGAAGAATGATCGAACAAGTGGTTAATAGAGTTTAACTAAAGACACGTGCAATATAACGAAACTGAATGTTGGGAAGGAGGAGATCTGACACAAGGCACCACACAGAAAAGGAAACCATATTGGAATCGAACAGAGAAAAGGACATTGGATTTCACATTACACACTACCGGTCATCAGAAGTTAATACCAACATAATATCACCAGCTGTATATGCGGACCTCAACACCCTAACAACTGCCTTTATATAGGACTTTCAACAGGAAGTGTTACAGGACTGTCACATATGTGGGACACACCATGATATATGCAACACCAGTGTGGAATCCTTATCTTGTTAAATAGTAAAGCCGGTGATAGCTTAGAGGTATTTCACCAGACTAGTCCCGGAGATGAGAGGTACGAGTTAAGAGGAAAGGCTGATCAAATTAAATCCCCCCAAATTAAACCAAGAATAAAACATACAGTACATAGGAGAAGGCAAACAATTTAGCACTGGTGGGACTCGAACGAGGGTGCATGGAAGGGACCCCAAGTAGCCATATATACCCCCGAGACCCCCTGGAAAATGTACAGAATTAATATAATGAACAAATAGAAAGGGTATTATGGAGCTCGCTAAGCTCTTAAACCTGTTTATTGAAGGCTGAGAGGCGGGACCAAGGAGGTGGAGCTCAACCCCAAGACTGACCTTGTAGGTGAAGATGCCGGCGATGATGCAGAAGATGACGGTGATGATGAGTTGGGCGATGCTGAGGGTGATCCCTGCCACCAGGAACTGTTGCTCGAAGTACTGCAAGATGAGCAGGGGGAGGGGGGGGGGTGTTATTACTTGTTGCATACTAAACTTCTCACCAACACCACACACTAAACATCTCACTAACACCACTCACTAAACATCTCACTACCACCACACACTAAACTTCTCACCAACACCACACACTAAACTTCTCACTAACACCACACACTAAACATCACACTAACACCACACACTAAACATCTCACTAACACCACACACTAAACATCTCACTAAACACCACACACTAAACATCTCACTAACACCACACACTAAACATCACACTAACACCACACACTAAACATCACACTAAACACCACACACTAAACATCACACTAACACCACACACTAAACATCACACTAACATCATACACTAAACATCTCACTAACAACACACTAAACATCTCACTAACACCACACACTAAACATCACACTAACACCACACACTAAACATCACACCAACACCACACACTAAACATCACACTAAACACCACACACTAAACATCACACTAAACACCACACACTAAACATCACACTAAACACCACACACTAAACATCACACTAAACACCACACACTAAACATCACACTAAACACCACACACTAAACATCAAACTAAACACCACACACTAAACATCCTACTCCTTCATATACAACATTTAAGAACCTGCTTTAACCCAAATTATTATCGTGCTGCAATTATTTAGTATTTTCAATATTTTTCTCGTTCGTGTGACCTTTCTCTCCTTCACTCTGTCCTCTTACTCTTCTCTCTCTCCCTCACTCTCTCCTCTCACTCTTCTCTCCCTCACTCTCTCCTCTCACTCTTCTCTCCCTCACTCTCTCCTCTCACTCTTCTCTAAATAATTTTTTATTTTATTGATGTTACTGCTGTTATTATAATCTTAGAAAGTGTATATAAAATCAGTTATTCCTACTGAAGCTCGCCCGGTGTTTACAAACAAAGAGCAAGTCTCGAGCACGTGGGAAGACAACTGTTGGAAAGGAAATTTCCAAGATTGTTTACAAACAAAAAATCAGCTGATGGGGGAGGGGGGGGGGGGGGTGAACGCTTGTCTTCAACGTTCCTAACAGTTGACGACAAAAAAAATAGATTGTGGATTGCCAATTTTTCCCTTAAGAAACAAGCAATGGGGGTGGGGGGGGGAGGAGTTGTAGGTCTACCTCAGGCTGGTGGGGGGGAGGGGGGGTAGGGGGTTGTAGGCCTACCTCAGGCTGGTGGGGGGGGGGGGGAGGGGGTAGGGGTTTGTAGGCCTACCTCAGGCTGGTAGGTGATGTGCTGGAAGCTGATCCGTCGCACCATCCAGGAGCTGATGTAGAAGACGTTGATGCCCATGGAGCCGAAGGCCTTGATGAGCCAGAACCATGTGAGCCACGGCTTGTGCTGCGGGAGACCAGGCAGGTTAATGGTGTGGTGGTTATGGGGGTTTATGTGGGGGTGGGGGTGTGTGGTGGGGTGGGGGTGTGTGTGTGGGGGGGGGTGTGTTGGTGGGGGTGGTGTGTGTGGGGGGGTGGGGGTGTGTGTGGTGGGGTGGGGGTGTGTGTGGTGGGGTTGGGGGTGTGTGGTGGGGTGTGTGTGTGGGGGTTGGGGTGTGTGGTGGGGGTTGGGGTGTGTGTGTGGGGGTTGGGGTGTGTGGTGGGGGTTGGGGTGTGTGTGGTGGGGGTTGGGTGTGTGGTGGGGGTTGGGGTGTGGTGGGGGTTGGGGTGTGGTGGTGGGGGTTGGGGTGTGTGTGGGGGGTGGGGGTGTGTGTGGTGGGGTCGGGGGGTTTGTGGGATTAGTGGGTGGGTTTTTTTCTGTGGGGGTTAATTGGAAAATGTAGGAACATATTAGTCGAAAAATAAACTTGCATTTAGAAAATGTTAGTGAGACAGAAAGATAGACTGATAGAGAGAGAGAGAGAGACACAAAGAGACAAGAGACACCAGCCCATCATCACAACACAACAGTCTACTCAAAGAGGAACTAAAAACCGTCGAGAAAGTCAGCCCAGCGTCACGAGGCGGAACTCCCGACAAAACCCACAAGCGAAGGTTTCCGTCGCTGGCTCTAAACCCACCTTCAGAAGCCCCCCTACCCCCCCCCCCCCCACCCTACCCCCCTCCACCCCACCCCCCTACCCCCCCCCCCTTCCAAGGCATCATTGATGGCCGCGAAAAAAGGTGTAACGGAGGTGGTTATGTGTTATTTACACAAGCAGGTGGCGCTGAAATACCTCTGTTGTCACGGCCCCGAGAGTGCCTTAACACGACACCTGTGCCATAAACCACAGTGCCAGCTGGCAGGTCAAGCCAGGCGAAGGAGCGGCGGCGGGATCCAGAGGGCTAACGGGGGTGGACAGAACCGCCAGGCGAACGTAAGCCAGTACTGGCGTTACCTTGAGGGTATAGCCACACATCGGCACCAAGACCTCTCCAGTACCCGATGAATTCATGTGGCAGGCGATGAGTCACAATAACGTGGCTAAAGTATGTTGACCAGACCACACACTAGAAGGTGAAGGGACGACGACGTTTCGGTCCGTCCTGGACCATTCTCAAGTCGATTCTCAATTCTTCATGTTGCTTGCAACTTTTGTAATATTATACCACAGTGTCGTATGAGCTTAGACCGTATACATAGATTTTAGCTCAGTATACAGAGAGACAGAGAGGGAGAGAGTGTGTGAGAGAAAAGAGAGAGAGAGAGAGAGAGGGAGCGAGAGAACACAACATATCTCACCTTGACCAGAGCGATGATGTAGATAATGTCAAAGAGAGGAGTCACGCCCCCCTCGCCCAGACCGATGTAAGTGCGGAACGTAAACACTGAAACAAGAGTAAACATAAATATTTTGATATAAAGTAAACAAAAAATAAAAATCATACAGCGTAAACAAAATAACAATTTGTATGATGTAAATCAACTGACCTAGAGAGCTGTGTGATTGGAAATATCTTCAGGAATTTGTTTAGTTGTCACAGATCAATGTGAATCTAGGTATATATATATATATACACCTTGGTCCTATAGCATTAGGGCCATAGTCATCATTCAATATATATATATATATTGGTCCTATAGCATTAGGGCCATAGTCATCATTCCAATGGAGGTATTTGTGTCTGCTTGCGCAAATACACAATATATACAGGTATACAGAGCTATCTGATCGCATACTTATACAGCCTTCTCCCCATCAAACACACACACACACACACACACACACACACACACACACACACACACACACACACACACACACACACACACACACACCCACACACACCCACCCACCCACACCCACCCACACACACACACACACACACACACACACACACATCGTAGAGTTTACTTACGCTGTTCGTAGATGTAGATCTTGTTCTGGCAATATGCGATATCCAGCTCTCTGGGACACAAGTAGAAGTAGAAGGAGATGAAGCGGTAGCCGTAGAAGCCCACCGTGCACAGCCCGTGAATCTGTGGGCACAACACGGGTCAGAGGCGCTCAAGTGCTCAACCACAACACCACAACAACAACAACGCAAGTTGAAGCATCAATCAGTAAAGATCTGTACAGCCGGAAGCAAGATTTGGAAAAACAATAGAATATGAAAGTCTCCCTGAGATGTTTAGCTAGGGTCACACACACACACACACACACACACACACACACACACACACACACACACACACACACACACACACACACACACACACACACACACACACACACACACACACACACACACAGGTGTCACTGGGAATAGCCTGGGGGCCAGATTCACGAAGCAATTACGCAAGTACTTACGAACATGTACATCTGTCCTCAATCTTTGACGGCTTTGGTTCCGTTCATTAAACAGTTTGCAGGCATGAAAACGTCCCAATCAACTGGTGCTATTGTTATAAACAGCCTCCTGGTGCTTCGGAGCTCACTAACTGTTTAATAATTGTAAACAAAGCCGCCAAAGATTGAGAAAAGACGTACAAGTTCGTAAGTGTAGGCGTAACTGCTTCGTGAATCTGGCCCCAGGTCTCTGGCAGCGCTTGGCCCCAGACCTGACTCTCAGCATAACCTCCCAACAAGACAGGACACTCACAATGTCGACAATAGCGAGGAAGATGCCGCAGCCGACCACTGTCCTGATGGAGCAAGCCATCCCTCGGGAGTGTCCTTCACGCTCTCTGATCTCCTGTAACACAGTGAAAAACATTCACAAGTTGGAAAAAAAGGTACAATACACAAATTGTTTAAGAGGGGGGAGAGATCGGTGTGTGTGTGTGTGTGTGTGTGTGTGTGTGTGTGTGTGTGTGTGTGTGTGTGTGTGTGTGTGTGTGTGTGTGTGTAGCACTCCAATGAGTTATGAAGATGGACAAATAGAAGAAGGGAGGGAGGGAGGGAAGGAGAAAGGGCGATAAGTAGAAGGGGGGAGGAGGAGGACTAAAGCTGCAGACCGTGAAAGTATCATCAACGAGGCGAAGATGGCAGCTGAGAACATCCTGGAGAGCAGCCTAGAGTGAAGGAGGATGAGGGAGGGTAGGACGTGGGAGGGAGGGTAGGTGGGAGGGAGCCAGGAATTGATGGAGGTCAGGCGTATGGAGGAGGGAGGAAAAACAAGATGGAGGGGCGTTAGCATCAGTGGTAGCATTGTGTTGACTGTATAACTACTTGTCCCCCTGGGGGAATATTGGGAACTATCCACAGAACACAGTATATATACAACATTTACATAACAGCAAAGTAATATTTAGTTAATTAAATTATCCAAAGGCACAAATCGCAGCATCTAGACGTTATTAAGCAAACCTACCTTAACACCATGGGTACACTATGGGGCAGCATGGGTACACTAGGGGGCAGCATGGGTACACTAGGGGGCAGCATGGGTATACGAGGGGCAGCATGGGTAAACTAGGGGGCAGCATGGTTACACAAGGGGGCAGCATGGGTACACTAGGGGGCAGCATGGGTACACTAGGGGGCAGCATGGGTACACTAGGGGGCAGCATGGGTACACTAGGGGGCAGCATGGGTACACTAGGGGGCAGCATGGGTACACTAGGGGGCAGCATGGGTACACTAGGGGGCAGCATGGGTACACTATGGGCAGCATGGGTACACTAGGGGGCAGTGAACTATCACTTTGCCTTCAGAAACTTAAGTCCCAACTTGACTGGCAAATGGCAAAAGTCTAAAATCTCCCCTCAAAAGTTAGTCCACAAGGGCATGGACAGGTGATTAAGTTCCCACACGGTTATTAAATACAAGTCACTTCACCACAAATTATAAATTGAAAATAAGATAATAACACCGAAGTAACACCACCCACACATAGCCCCCTTATGGTTAAGACGAGTATGTTGTTAATGACGGACAGTAATAAAGGAATCTTTCAACCTAAGAACACTTAGGTTGATGTGTACTCCTCTAGGCGTTAAGTCAGTCACGTTCTTGGGTTTGGTTGGTACGTGACCGGCACTGAAATAGCTCAGTAACTACAGATAAAAATAACTGAGTCAAGGTAATTCGAAACATGGAGTATATAATGTCATATGCGGGCAAGAGATGGCGCTGGCGACAGAAAAAGCACTCAAGCTGCCATGTTTCGGTTACTGTTCTTTCTATATATTTACTCTGTGTTCTCGCTTGTGTGTGTTGGTGAACGGGACAGTGTTCCGTGTTCTAAATGTGATTGTTCATATCTTGACACAGTCCGTCCTCCAAACAAAGACCCAAAAATGATTCCATAAACCCGCCAAATGTTTATAAATGAAAAACGGTTTACACACGACTCACAACTGATGAAGTTCGAACACTTCCGGAACAAGTGCTTCACTGACGACTTTTGTTCAAACCACAACGCTGTAAATGCTTCACCCACGTACTACAAATAATCGCCAACAGAACCTAAACACATGACCTAATCTAACCTAACCTATGCCTATATATGCACAATATGCGCATATATTATAATATTAATTTATATTTGAGAACATTCTCGTTATGAATGAACAGCATGTAAAAATTTATGAATGCGTCTGTGGGGGTCGACCACTGGATGTAATGATATAATAGACTTGAGTCGAGGACGGGTTATATCTTGACAAGTGCTGGCATATCAAGGTGAGTGTTCTGCAGTTGAGTGGGGTTATGGCTGTATTTGTATTGACTGTATCTGTAATGGCTGATTTTCTAATAACTGTATTGAGTTTATTATAAAATATTTTGTGACAACTGATGTATCAATATAAAGACAATGTATTGATCGAAACATCGCACTCGCCGACGCCTCGCACTGTGTGTGTACTCACCTAGCTGTACTTGCGGGGGGTTGAGCTCTGGCTCTTTGGTCCCGCCTCTCAACTGTCAATCAATTGGTGTACAGATTCCTGAGCCTACTGGGCTGTGTCATATCTACATTTGAAACTGTGTATGGAGTCAGCCTCCACCACATCACTGCCTAATGCATTCTATCTGTTAACTACTCTTGACGCTGAAAAAGTTCTTTCTAACTCATTTGTGGCTCATTTGGGTACTCAGTTTTCACCTGTGTTGCCTTGTTCGCGTACCACCCGTGATAAACAGTTTATCTTCCATGTCAATTCATCTGAGAATTGTGTAGATAGTGATCATGTCTCTTGTTATTCTTCTGTCTTCCAGTGTCGTGAGGTTCAGTTCCAGCAATCTTTCCTCATAGCTCATTCCTCTCAGCTCGAGGACTAGCCTGGTGGCATACCTCTGAACCTTTTCAAACTTCGTTTTGTGTTTGACTAGATGTGGACTCCATGCTGGAGCTGCATACTCAAGGATTGGTCGGTCCAGTATGTGAGTGTGTGTGTGTGCATGCGCACGCCTTCCTGCCTGCTTGAGTTGCATGTCATTGTGTTATTTTAAGCCCATGACGTTATTGTTCTTGAACTTGATGAACTGTTGCTAATGAAAACATCAACAGAGAGGACAAGCATCTGGCCTATTGTGGCCAGTGTTAATGTCTCGTGTAGAGGGACTAAAAGTAGACGGGTCTCGTGTAGAGGGGGCTAAAGGGCTCTAAGTTGCGATTGAAGCTGTAAAGTTTCCAGTGTAGTGTCCGCTTGAAGGCGATCAACACTGTTTAAGTAATCACTTAAATCAAGTAAGATCCAGCACCGGGAGCTGACTGGATGAATCTGGTCGACGCGCCTCTTGAGAAATGTATCGACAGCTTAACTTCCATTTCAATAGAGTATTGGGCTACGACGTGATGTTAGTAGTCAAGATGATGCTTCTTGATGATGTTAATGATTAAGATGATGCTTCTTGATGATGTTAATGATTAAGATGATGCTTCTTGATGATGTTAATGATGCTTCTTGATGATGAATATGACGACTTTACGTAATTAGAATGACTGATAACTATGATAATAAACTACACCTGCGTGAATGACTCTTAACGCTTAAATTGCTGAATTCAACTACACCTTAAGGTACACAGGTCCACGTAACTGTCTCCAGAGATCTTCATAACTGCGTAAATCTGTTCTTGATGGCGGCAGGAACCCAACTGTTCCAGCGGCCGCTATATAACGAGGTATAGCGGCCACTATACTAGATATAACGGCCGCTGTACTACGGAATACGTATTACACTGTTAGCGAAGTGTGTGAGAGTACGCAGGCTTGCGTATGGGCGCTGTTGGCTTGAGACGTTCTTCAATACGCATTCTCCTCATTGTCATCAATTCTATGAATACGTTACTTCCTCACCAGTCTCCTAGACATTCATTCTCCCTCACTCTCGCTACTCACAACCTCCCTCACTCTCGCTACTCACAACCTCCCTCACTCTCGCTACTCACAATCTCCCTCACTCTCGCTACTCACAACCTCCCTCACTCTCGCTACTCACAACCTCCCTCACTCTCGCTACTCACAACCTCCCTCACTCTCGCTACTCACAACCTCCCTCACTCTCGCTACTCACAACCTCCCTCACTCTCGCTACTCACAACCTCCCTCACTCTCGCTACTCACAACCTCCCTCACTCTCGCTACTCACAACCTCCCTCACTCTCGCTACTCACAACCTCCCTCACTCTCGCTACTCACAACCTCCCTCACTCTCGCTACTCACAACCTCCCTCACTCTCGCAACTCACAACCTCCCTCACTCTCGCTACTCACAACCTCCCTCACTCTCGCTACTCACAACCTCCCTCACTCTCGCTACTCACAACCTCCCTCACTCTCGCTACTCACAACCTCCCTCACTCTCGCTACTCACAACCTCCCTCACTCTCGCTACTCACAACCTCCCTCACTCTCCCTACTCACAACCTCCCTCACTCTCCCTACTCACAACCTCCCTCACTGCCCTTGCTGTGCAGGAAAGAAATGAGAGAGACCTCATCCTTGAGGAGAAAAATCAAGCCGTTGGGAACAATGCTGTGAGTGTAATGTTTGTCATTGTCTTCCCTTCCCGTCAGTGTCTCTCCCTGTCACGCTGTCTCTTCCGTGTTCCTGTCTATGTCTCCTGTGGTCATTGTCTCTCCTGTGAGCCTGTCTATCTCTTCTGTCCTCTTTCTGGCTGTCTGGTGATCTTATTCTCTGTCTCTCCTTTGATCATTCTGTCTTATGATGCCGACTTTCTCTATAGTGTTTAAAGCTCACTCCTTATGATCCTGTCTTAGAACTTGTCTTGCCTCTCTCTTTGTCTCTGTCTGTCTGTCTGTCTTTCTGTCTCTCTCTCTCTCTCTCTCTCTCTCTCTCTCTCTCTCTCTCTCTCTCTCTCTCTCTCTCTCTCTCTCTCTCTCTCTCTCTCTCTCTCTCTCTCTCTCTCTCTCTCTCTCTCTCTCTCTCTCTCCCTCTCTCCCTCCCTCTCTCCCTCTCTCTCCTCTCCCCCCCCCCCTATGTGTTCCTGTGATCGCATGTATGGAAGCTGTTAATCCTCGTTTCCCTACTTTCGAAAATTAAAAAAAAAATAAATAACTGTTCAGCGTCAGAGACTTATAACACTGGAGGTCAAATCACAGGAGGCCGTCCAGCTCAGGAAGACAATAACGCAGGTGAACACATTTCTCCAGCGAGTGCAGCAATAGTGAGTTAGAGATGGTAGATATGAACTCCGCGACTACAGTACAGTACTGAGCCGCCCGATGGCCGGCTTTCACCAGCATATTAGATCCACCAGCTCCACACCATAATCACCGCCGCCCTCCCATCCACCTGGAATCTCGACCCCCTTTGAAAGTTTCAGATTTTGGTGAAAATTGGGAGTGCGGGTTGTGTACACGCCCACTGCGCATGCGCAATGCGCACATACGCCTATTGCGAACATACGCCCACTGCGCACATACGCCCACTGCGCACATACGCCCACTGCGCACACACGCACACTGCGCACACACGCACACTGCGCACACACGCACACTGCGCACACACGCACACTGCGCACACACACACACTGTGCACGTCCACTGCGCACATACGCACACACGAACACTGCGCACACACGCACACAGCGCACACAGCGCACGCACACTGCACACACCGCACGCACACTGCACACACGCACACTGCACGCACACTGCACACACACACGCCCACTGCGCACACTGCACACACGCTCACTGCACACACGCACACTGCGCGCGCACACACGCCCAATACCTACGTTAACTGCTTCACGCTTACAGATAACACCGCGATATAAAAATCTGAACTATTAAAGACTATTTGAATGTCAAACTTCCCGTCTTTGAAAACTATATTTCATTTATTAGAGTTGATGAATAACTCAATTGGGAAAACACTCGCTTGGCGTTCCGCGAGCGCTATGTCATGGGTTCGTATCCTGGCCGGGGAGGATTTACTGGGCGCAATTCCTTAACTGTAGCCTCTGTTAACTCAACAGTAAAATGTGTACTTGGTTGTAAAAACGATTCTTCGCGGCAGGGGATCGTATTCCAGGGACCTGCCCGAAACGCTACGCGTACAAGTAGCTGTACAAGAATGTAACAACTCTTGTATATATCTCAAATGATGAATAACACGTAACGACCAAACTGACATCAAATTATTCCTCTCAAAACACTTTTAATTCCAATAAAATATGAGAGTGTAGCTCCCACACTTGCGTACAGTAGCGTCACTACGCATCTCTCAACACGTCCATGGTGCCTAACAGTGCGTATGAAATGTGTGTATAAAATAAGCGTATTTAAAGTACAAAGTGGTTGCCCATGGAACTCTTGTATAATAAATATATTCGTGGCATAAAAACAGTTCTTTTCTTGTTGGAAGCGCAATTATCTACGCAAGTACCGAAGTTAATTTTCTGGAACTGCTGCTACCGTAGATAAACAGTAGAAGGGTGTTAAAGAAACTGTGTTTTAAACTCCAGACTAAACAAAAAGTGAAAATCAGCCCCGAACATTCTCCATGTCATGTGAAGTTCAGTCACCAAGAACGGTAATGTGTTTGAGGTTACTTGTCACTGAAGCTACAGTGAAACTTCATAGAGGAAACTACAGCAGTCAGAGATTACAAGACAAAGTGGCAGTCGCAAATACAGTTACTACAGTTCTTGTATTCTAGTAGCCATTTACGACTGTATTCATAATGTATACTTGCTGTAGGAGTTAGTGTATATAGTGAGAGTAGGTTTATCTCACTCCAAGGAGTTATACTGTAGTGTTTGTTTAAATTAATGTTGCTAAAGTCACGTCAAATACTTTTTAAAGTGTAAAATAAGACACTAACATAACCCGCTACTTTTAAACGCACTTAAATGCTAGATGGTACACTGTGTGTTCTCTGAATGATGGGGGAATGTATTCCAAGTTCACTTCATTATCGCTATCACACTTAAATCACAGACTGTCATCAGCATTCAGTAAGACCACAAGCACAATGTTCCTCACTCAGTCACCAGTCAGTCGACCTGTGTAACTGCCGTGTTAGGTCGACTGTTTCCTCAGCTTCAATGTTTCCTTAACAAATAAATTCACAAAATTCAGAAACTCTGATGCACCACGAACCAAGACTCAGTATTATCGTGTACATCACTGAGGTAAACTTCACTATCATGTCGCTTGATGCAGTGAAGTCGCCGCTGGTTGTAGGTGATAGTGAATGTCGGTGCGACACCAGTCACTGCTGCAGTAACTGCGGCCAGACACCGCAAGAAGGCTGTCACTCTTGAGCAGTGACAAGTCCGTCATCACACACCATCATCTCGTTCATCACAGAAGACGATGAAACAGTTTTGCATAAATCACTCACAACAGGTTCCCTTTTTTGTTTAACAATTCCTGAGCTAGGTATGAGGGAGGCCTGGAGGAGCAGTAGACCATCCCGCGGGCCTTCAGCTCACTACCAAGTCCACAGTCGAAGTCCAAATCACCTAAGCTCATAGAAAACAAAACAAAAATCACCATAAACGCACGTTGAAGTCCATCAATGAACCCACCTGTCGTTTGAATCAATTAATCGGATGAAGGTTGTGTCAGGCCTGTGCCCTCGTGTCGGGGGCGCTCCGGTGCGTCGAGGGGCTCCCAGCTATAGACTACAACTACCCCACACACTCTCACACGCGTGCACACGGCTACTGAGACGCTCCGACCATACGGTGGAGCGGCGTCGGCTAGAGTGGTTGCCTCACGCGGCCTCCCGCACGCTTAATACCTCTCCCCAGGCGGAAACTAGCGACGTTAGTCACTTATTCCGAGGACGCGGTTTGGAAACGTCAAAACTCCGAATAGGTGACGGGGTAGGGGGGGGGGGAGTTGTAACGTACGGACCGGTTGTAGGTTGAGATTGTTTGTTTCTGTTGCGTTAATGAATGAAGTTGCGCAACGGGCGGGGTCGTGATTGTGCGCGGACAGATCTGTGAGTTAGATCAGCGGGTTATGGTGGGGTCGCCTCCATGGTGGTGCTCCTTACGGCTCACCACGCCCACTACTTCTTCACCCAGCAAGTCAAGATTTTATTCTATATTTACAGTGTGTGTGTGTACTCACCTAGTTGTACTCACCTAGTTGTGTTTGCGGGGGTTGAGCTCTGGCTCTTTGGTCCCGCCTCTCAACCGTCAATCAACAGGTGTACAGATTCCTGAGCCTATCGGGCTCTGTCATATCTACACTTGAAACTGTGTATGGAGTGAGCCTCCACCACATCACCCCCTAATGCATTCCATTTGTCAACCACTCTGACACTAAAAAAGTTCTTTCTAATATCTCTGTGGCTCATTTGGGCACTCAGTTTCCACCTGTGTCCCCTTGTGCGTGTTCCCCTTGTGTTAAATAGACTGTCTTTATCTACCCTATCAATCCCCTTCAGAATCTTGAATGTGGTGATCATGTCCCCCCTAACTCTTCTGTCTTCCAGCGAAGTGAGGTTTAATTCCCGTAGTCTCTCCTCGTAGCTCATACCTCTCAGCTCGGGTACTAGTCTGGTGGCAAACCTTTGAACCTTTTCCAGTTTAGTCTTATCCTTGACTAGATATGGACTCCATGCTGGGGCTGCATACTCCAGGATTGGCCTGACATATGTGGTATACAAAGTTCTGAATGATTCTTTACACAAGTTTCTGAATGCCGTTCGTATGTTGGCCAGCCTGGCATATGCCGCTGATGTTATCCGCTTGATATGTGCTGCAGGAGACAGGTCTGGCGTGATATCAACCCCCAAGTCTTTTTCCTTCTCTGACTCCTGAAGAATTTCCTCTCCCAGATGATACCTCTGTATCTGTGTGTGTGTGTGTGTGTGTGTGTGTGTGTGTGTGTGTGTGTGTGTGTGTGTGTGTGTGTGTGTGTGTGTGTGTAGGATATGTGGAAGCTGGTCAGAATTGCATTTCACTTTTGTAAATGCACATTAATGACATACTGCAAAAGACACGTCCAACACTTCATGTAGGGCAGACGTAACTCTGTGTATCTATGTATTCAAGTCTGCAGGTTAGATTAACATTTTAAAAGCACTGCAATCACCTTCTGTGGTTGATAAGTCACTGAACTATATGTTTAACAGATCTCTCACCCTGTCCATGGAGGACAGAAGAAAATGTATGTATGCTGTTTAGCATTGTAAATGTGTGGCCACGTCTGTGGTAGGAAAACTGCCTAATGCATTTCATTTGTTAACTACTCTGACACTGAAAAGGTTCTTTACGAACATACGAACGGCATTCAGAAACTTGTGTAAAGAATCATTCAGAACTTTGTATACCACATACGTCAGGCCAATCCTGGAGTATGCAGCCCCAGCATGGAGTCCATATCTAGTCAAGGATAAGACTAAACTGGAAAAGGTTCAAAGGTTTGCCACCAGACTAGTACCCGAGCTGAGAGGTATGAGCTACGAGGAGAGACTACGGGAATTAAACCTCACTTCGCTGGAAGACAGAAGAGTTAGGGGGGACATGATCACCACATTCAAGATTCTGAAGGGAATTGATAGGGTAGATAAAGACAGTCTATTTAACACAAGGGGAACACGCACAAGGGGACACAGGTGGAAACTGAGTGCCCAAATGAGCCACAGAGATATTAGAAAGAACTTTTTTAGTGTCAGAGTGGTTGACAAATGGAATGCATTAGGGGGTGATGTGGTGGAGGCTGACTCCATACACAGTTTCAAGTGTAGATATGATAGAGCCCGATAGGCTCAGGAATCTGTACACCTGTTGATTGACGGTTGAGAGGCGGGACCAAAGAGCCAGAGCTCAACCCCCGCAAACACAACTAGGTGAGTACAACTAGGTGAGTACACACACACACACACACACACACACATACACACATATTAAGGGCCTCGTAGCCTGGTGGATAGGGGCCTCGTAGCCTGGTGGATAGCGCGCAGGACTCGTAATTCTGTGGCGCGGGTTCGATTCCCGCACGAGGCAGAAACAAATGGGCAAAGTTTCTTTCACCCTAAGTGCCCCTGTTACCTAGCAGTAAATAGGCACCTGGGAGTTAGTCAGCTGTCGCGGGCTGCTTCCTGGGGTGTGTGTGTGGTGTGGAAAAAAAAAAGTAGTTAGTAAACAGTTGATTGACAGTTGAGAGGCGGGCCAGAGCAAAGCTCAACCCCCGCAAAAACACAACTAGTAAACACATACACACACACACACACACACACACACACACACACACACACACACACACACACACACACACACACACACACACACACACACACACAGCAAGCACAGGCAGTAATGAAGGACTCCTAATTAGTAAATATAACCTAATCCATCCAAGCCAAACTAGTGAGTCTAACCTTGGCCATAACATTATCCCTTCTTGAGGTGTGTGTGGGGGACCTTAAGATGTATAGTTGCAAGGTTGCACACTTACCGGCTTACCAAGTGGCCGACAAGGAAGAACTTCCATTTAAAGTTGCAAGTAACACAAATGACAGCATTAACATGTTAATATATTGATCAACATAACGCCCACTCGTGTAATACAATATGGGAACTCAGGGGTTAACTTACTCCATATATTGACCAAACTGTGTTAAAGTATTCATACACTTAATACTCGCTAAGTCTGCCCTCACACTAAATGTTCAACACTTCCTCACACTAAATGTTCAACACTTCCTCACACTAAATGTTCAACACTTCCTCACACTAAATGTTCAACACTTCCTCACACTAAATGTTCAACACTTCCTCACACTAAATGTTCAACACTTCCTCACACTAAATGTTCAACACTTCTCACACTAAATGTTCAACACTTCCTCACACTAAATGTTCAACACTTCCTCACACTAAATGTTCAACACTTCCTCACACTAAATGTTCAACACTTCCTCACACTAAATGTTCAACACTTCCTCACACTAAATGTTCAACACTTCTTCACACTAAATGTTCAACACTTCCTCACACTAAATGTTCAACACTTCCTCACATTAAATGTTCAAACCTTCTCACACTAAATGTTCAACGCTTCCTCACACTAAATGTTCAACGCTTCCTCACACTAAATGTTCAACACTTCCTCACACTAAATGTTCAAACACTAAATGTTCAACACTTCCTCACACTAAATGTTCAACACTTCCTCACACTAAATGTTCAACACTTCCTCACACTAAATGTTCAACACTTCCTCACACTAAATGTTCAACACTTCCTCACACTAAATGTTCAACACTTCCTCACACTAAATGTTCAACACTTCCTCACACTAAATGTTCAACACTTCCTCACACTAAATGTTTCCTCAACTAAATGTTCAACCTTCCTCACACTAAATGTTCAACACTTCCTCACACTAAATGTTCAACACTTCCTCACACTAAATGTTCAACACTTCCTCACACTAAATGTTCAACACTTCCTCACACTAAATGTTCAACACTTCCTCACACTAAATGTTCAAACCTTCCTCACACTAAATGTTCAACACTTCCTCACACTAAATGTTCAACACTTCCTCACACTAAATGTTCAAACCTTCCTCACACTAAATGTTCAACACTTCCTCACACTAAATGTTCAAACCTTCCTCACACTAAATTCCTCACACTAAATGTTCAAACCTTCCTCACACTAAATGTTCAACACTTCCTCACACTAAATGTTCAAACCTTCCTCACACTAAATGTTCAACACTTCCTCACACTAAATGTTCAACACTTCCTCACACTAAATGTTCAAACCTTCCTCACACTAAATGTTCAACACTTCCTCACACTAAATGTTCAAACACTTCCTCACCCTAAATGTTCAACACTTCCTCACACTAAATGTTCAACACTTCCTCACACTAAATGTTCAACACTTCCTCACACTAAATGTTCAACACTTCCTCACACTAAATGTTCAACACTTCCTCACACTAAATGTTCAACACTTCCTCACACTAAATGTTCAACACTTCCTCACACTAAATGTTCAACACTTCCTCACACTAAATGTTCAACACTTCCTCACACTAAATGTTCAACACTTCCTCACACTAAATGTTCAACACTTCCTCACACTTCCTCACACTAAATGTTCAACGCTTCCTCACACTAAATGTTCAACTTTCACCTCACACTAAATGTTCAACACTTCCTCACACTAAATGTTCAACACTTCCTCACACTAAATGTTCAACACTTCCTCACACTAAATGTTCAACACTTCCTCACACTAAATGTTCAACACTTCCTCACCCTAAATGTTCAACACTTCTCACACTAAATGTTCAACACTTCCTCACACTAAATGTTCAACACTTCCTCACAAATGTTCAACACTTCCTCACAAAATGTTCAACACTTCCTCACACTAAATGTTCAACACTTCCTCACACTAAATGTTCAACACTTCCTCACACTAAATGTTCAACACTTCCTCACACTAAATGTTCAACACTTCCTCACACTAAATGTTCAACACTTCCTCACACTAAATGTTCAACACTTCCTCACCCTAAATGTTCAACACTTCTCACACTAAATGTTCAACACTTCCTCACACTAAATGTTCAACACTTCCTCACACTAAATGTTCAACACTTCCTCACACTAAATGTTCAACACTTCCTCACACTAAATGTTCAACACTTCCTCACACTAAATGTTCAACACTTCCTCACACTAAATGTTCAACACTTCCTCACACTAAATGTTCAACACTTCCTCACACTAAATGTTCAACACTTCCTCAC